TGTTCCAGCTTGATTTAGTGGCCTCTGCAGCCTCGAGGGAGGCAGAGATGAAAACCCATGTTGATTCAGGCCAGTGTGATTCTCCAGTTCAAGTGACTTCTTCCCCAGACTCAGATCTCCTCTAGACCGTGGAGAGACCAGGGGCTTTCTTGGTATAAATATCACTAACCTCCTCTGGTCTGAAATGACCACCCCCCCACCCCCACCCAAAGAAAAGCCACCTGGTGCCAGTGCAGCTGGCTCATGGGTCAAAGCTATCTGTGACCATTACTGTGAAACAAAGTTGAGCATTTACTGAGGACTCTGAACTTTCTAGGCACATGGCTGGTTTGTACTGGCTGGTTTGCAAGGCCTCCTAATGCTTGTGAAAAGCTTGGGCTGGGAATTTTATTTGACAGAGGTAGAATTGAACCGATCTAAAGGTGAGATACATAAACCTTGTATGATAGTTTCTTCCATGTTTCTGTGCCTAACATGTCCAATAGGCAAAGGTTAAAAAGTAAGAAGGAAAGGAGGGAAAGTAGGTAAAATAGATTTGGATCAGAAGATAGGGTTTAAATCAAAGCTCTGCTACTTAGTAGCACGTGACCTTGGGCACAGCAGCTTGACATCTGTAACATTTGAAGGCTAGAGCTGATGACCTCTTAGGTTCCAGCTTTGACTAGAATTCTACAATGCTCAGACTTCTGGAACTCTAAGCTTGTATAGGCCTCATCCTGGACGCAGCAGAGCGCACTTGGGAGCCCAAGGAAATTAATTAATAAAGCGGCCCTTGCCACACTGCCCGGCCCCAGCGACAAGGCTGGTTCACAAACTAGGCGAGTAATGCCAGAAGTTTTGCTTGTGCTAACCAATTGTAAATAGCGTCGCTTTGGGAGATCTCAGACCCCAGTTTCCAGCAAGACTTTGGGACCACTGTGAAAATCTCAGGTAAGAGGAGAAAAAGGAAGAAAAAAAAAAAGCCCGGCACTCAGGCTGACCTCTAGGCTGCAAGCCAAACCGTCATCCTCTTGCACTGTTTTAATAGCAGGTCCTGGGCGTGGCTTCCCTGGAGAGTGAAAAGAGTGGGGCCGGGAGGGGGGGACAGCAAGTGAGCCAACAGAGCCTGGGTGGCTGCTAGTGTCTCTTAGCAACAGGTAAGTTGCAGATCTGTTGGCTATGGCGGACCGTCTTTACATTAGCCCGGAGGAGAAGGCCCAGCTTTATTTGAAAAAACATCATATCATGGAGCTGTTGAACCACCTCACTTTTCAGCTGCTCTATCATCGACCCGGTAAGGGTTCCTCCTGCCCGCTGGCTCTGTGCTCTGCTTTCCTTAACGCGACGCTAGAGCAAAGATCCTGACTTTCCCCTGGCAGCTTTCTACTTCCATTCCCCTGCACAGACACCCCCCCCACCCACACACACATGCTCCCTACACCGCTCCCTACAAAACACTCCACTCTCTCGTCTTTTCCTTCAGACAATTAATAGAGCAGGTAGGGTCAATGTGGTGAAGTGTCTGGGAGCCAGGAGACCAGGGGTTTAGTCCTGGTTTTCTTCCTGATAAGTTAAGTGGTAACACTGCACTCCCCGACCAGATTGCAGACTCCTGGTGAGCCGAAACTGTGTTTTCCAGCTTTGTATTTAATACATTTTTTTCTTTTAAAAAAATTTTTAATTAATTTATTTTGTATTATCAACAATCACTTCCATTAGCTTTTGAGTTTTAAATTTTTCTCCCCCTCCCTCCCCAAGACGGCCCTCAATCTGATATGGGGTATATGTATTTTAATACATTTTCTTTAATTTTATACCTCTTCCTTTCATTCTTCGCTCTGCTGCACTCAGAGTAATCTGTCGTCCCTCTTCCCTCAACCCCCAAAAGGGGTGGTGAGGGTAGTGAACATAGCCTGCTCTTCGTTGTTCCTCTAAGACTCATTCTGCCACCATTTAGCCACTTGTCTTCCTTTGAGGTTCATTCTGTCAGGACATATTACTTGATCATTCTTCCTCTTTTCTCAGGGAATTTAGTACCTGTCTCATAGGTCTCCTAACCCCATCTCTTTAATTGGGGAGCAACAATGTCGATGTTTGCTCATTCTGAACTCACAATTCCTCAATCTGCTTATATCCCATCTCTTCTATTTGCTACCTACAAACATATCTAGGTCTTCTCAGTCATAAAAGCAAAAACAAACACAAAAAACCCTCCCAAACCCTCAGGATTCTACCAACCAGCCAATCAAGCTATCATGCCATCGAAGCTCATCGCTTTCAGAGCCAAACTAGGGAGAAAGGAGTTGAGGGAAAGAACTTCCCATTCTCTTTGCTTTCAAAGTTTTCTGTTCAAAGTTATCTCACACCACTCAGCTGATACTGCTATTTTCAAAGTTACCATTCAGCTCTTAATTGACAAATTGCCTTTTCTCAGTTCTTATGCTTCTAGCTTATCCACGTCACAAATAATGCTTGCTGGTGATTTTAGATAGACAGATGATGCTTATCATTTGAAAGCATACCTATGCTTTCAAAATAGGAATGAACGTTGTATTTTGTCAAAAGCTTTTTCTGCATGTATTGATATAATCTTATCGATTTCTGTTACTTCTGTTACTGATATAATCAATTATGTTAATAGTTTTCCTTATGTTAAATCATCCCAACATTCCTGGAATAAATCCCACTTGGTCACAATGTATAACTTTGTGATATACTGTTGTAATCTCCTAGCTAGTCTTTTATTTAGGGTTTTTGCATCTAGATTCATTAGTGAAATTGGTCTAGAATTTTCTTTCTCTGTTTTTGTTCTTTCTGGTTTAGGTACCAGCACCATATTTGTTTCATAAAAGGAGTTTGGTATGACTCCTTCTCAAAAAAGTTTATTTAATATTGGGATTCATTGATCTTTAAATGTTTGGTAGAATTCATTTGTAAATCCAACTGGTCCTGATATTATTTTTCCTTAGGAAGTTCATTTACAGCCTGTTTAAATTCTTTCTTTTCTTTCTTTCTTTTTTTTTTTTGGTGAGGCAATTGGGGTTAAATGACTTGCCCAGAGTCACACAGCTAGTGAGCGTTATGTGTCTGAGGCTGACTTTGAACTTAGGGCATCCTGACACCAGGGCCAGTGCTCTATCCACTGCACCACCTAGCTGCCCCTAATTTCTTTTTCTAAAATAGGTTTATTTAGATATTCTCTCTTCTGTTAATTTAGGCAGTTTATATTTTTGTAAATAGTCTTCTATGTCACTTAAATTGTTAAACTTACTGGCATATAATTGGCAAAATAACTCCTAATAATTGCTTTGATTTCATCTTCATTTGTGTTATATTCTCCCTTTTCATTTTTTATACTAACGGTTCAATTTTCTTCTGTTTTTAAAAATCATATTAACCAATCAAGTTTATTTTTTCCATAAAACTGACTCCTAGTTTTATTTATTAATTCAATAGTTTTCTTACACTCAGTTTTATTAATTTCACCTTTAATTTTTAGGATTTCCAATTTGGTGTTTAATTGAGTTTTAATTTGTCCTTTTCCTAGGTTTTTTTTAAATATCATACCCAATTCATTGATCTGCTCATCATTTCTTTTGGTGCTGTTTTAAATTAATTTTGCATCAGTGCTCAAAAAACAAACAAAAAAATTTCTCTCCTTCCCCTTCCCCTTACTGTTGGAAAAGAACAAAAACAGAAACAACAAACATGCATAGTCAGGCAAAACAAATCTCCACATTGGCCAATTACAAAGATTGTCTTGTTCTGCCCCCTAAATCCACCACCACTGAGGAAGTTGGGTAACATTTGCTTCATCATTGGTTCTCAGCAATCATGGCTGGTCCTTGCATTGATCAGAGTTCTTTAGGCTTTCCAGTGTTGTTATAATATAAATTGTTCTTATTCTGCTCGCTTTGCATCAGTTCATACTACTAGTCTTCCTAGGTTTCACTGAAACCATCTTTTTCACCATTTCTTATGGCACAATAGTGTTGTATTGCACCCACATACCATAGCTCATCCAACCCTTCCCCATTTGATGGACAGCCCCTTTCTTTTCAGTTTACTGCTACAAAAAGAGCTGCTAGAAAATCTTGAGATTTCTTAATAACATATACTCGGTTTCTTAATTTAATTTAATCGTAGTTTGCTAAATTTTTTCTTCCTTAATTCCTTCAGATTGTTCATAATCCATTTAATTGTACTTTGGTAACATTCTAATTTGGATTTTTTTCCCTAGTGTTTCTACTGATTTGTAAGCATATTTTCCTTCTAGTATGTTAATCTTTTGCTTCTTTAAATCCATAAAAAATTTTTTATTGATTTCCTTGTTTTTATCTAAATGCAATTTTCTTTTGAGAGTTCCTTTTTTGGCACATCTGTTGCTGACTTTTTTTAAAGGGGTATAGTGACCTTCGGCTCTCTTACTATTTCTTATATCCCCAAGTCTCCCTTAGTCCCCATTTCTATTTTAAGTGCCATCAGTATAAGGCAATCCAACGTAGAAAACTATTGTGTCTTGTAGTAGTATTTGCTTTCTTGAAATGGGCAGGAAGGTGTATGCAGGTGTGATTGTGTTTAACCTTAGCCATCTACTCTCAGACTACTGAAGATGGCTTCTCATAGAGATGGCTCCAGGGTTTGCCAGGTATGTAAAAAGTGACATTTAGGGGTAAACTAAATAAAACCGATATGAATGAGCCTCCAGGATCAGTCCTTATTTCCTGTACCAACCTTCATTTCTCCTGTCTTCTTTGGCTCTTACTTCCCTTATCCTTTCAGCAGTGTTCCAGAAAGTGTGTTATGTGATTTTTTACTTCATGTAATAAGTTATTCCATATAAGCACATTTTTTGCTTTTGCTAGAAATTGAATTTTAAAATTTAGAGTTAAGAATTCTGAGATCTTGTTTTTTAGCTAAATTATTTTTTAATGTTTGTGTGTTTTGAGAATATTTTGTTTGGAATATCTGTAGTTTTGATTTTGTCATGTCTTATGAAAATACAAACTATTCTATTACAGAAAAACCAAGAGATTTTTTGCTCAATATGTTAGCAAGAATTAAGATTGCGAAGATAACTACTGTAGACTTTCCTTATCTCATGGATGACTCTAACTTAGTTTCTATGTTTGAAATAATGGACCCAACAAACCAAGGTTTTATAACTCCTGTTCAGTACAGAGAAGGTTAGTAACTTTTATTTTATTGTAACCATATATAGTTCAGTTATTCCGGAACTCACTTTAGTTTAAATAATTTACATTTTATGAATTTCTTTTCTTGTTTTCACATATATAGCCCTAAAGAACCTTGGTCTACTGGGTCCAGATGAAGTAATAGATGAAGATAGAGAAGTTATCACTAGGGAAGATTTCAGGGATGATGTGTAAGTTTGTTTAGTTTAAAATGAAAATATTAATTGGTCTTCAAGTAGAATGATTATTGCTTAGAGAAGGTCCCCCAACTTTTTGTGAGAAAGGACTACTTTTCATTCTGAGAAACCTTCGTTTACCTGGGAGGTAATGAGGCCAGTGTTGACACTAAAGGGCCTGAGCAGAAGTGCTTAGTAGACAGTAACATCAGGGGTGACAGGCTACCCCACGCTCCCTTCCCAGTTGGCAGTCCCGTAGAAGTGATCTTGGCAGCAATTTGCAGTAGTCCCCTAGGTGAGCCTTTGAGATATTAGTAGCTTCTGATCTGTGATGGCTGAAAGAATTTAGAAGTGCTTTTGTATTTTGGGGTGTGTTTTACAAGTGTTAAAATTGTTTTCTTTTTCCTTTAAACTAGAATAGTAAGAATAAACACATCAAAATCAATGTGTTTATATATGTAATTAAATAAAAATACTAATATTAAATCTACATTATTTATATATAAATAATGGGTACTTAATACTAGTTTTTTCAGTATAATTTCATTATTATGTATACTTCTCCTACCAGTTTATATCCCAACTATTCAACAGATTATTTCATAAGTAGTTGTGACCAAACAAATCAATTGCCGACTGGTTTGCTGCTAACAAGCTTTTCCAAACTTAGTTGGGTGGGTCCTCAATAATCATACTCAGAACCTTTCCATCTTCCTGCGTGACCTACCAAAACTTGTACCTTACTGACACATTCCTCAAAAAACCAGGGTCACCTGGTATGGCACTTAGGGTGCCACAGGAGGCACCCCAGTAGAACTTCAGTTGAGATTAAATATTTAACTTAAATAATTTATAATGTAAGTCCCTTGAGGGTAAGAACTGTTACATTTTTATTTTTCCATCTTTTGTACCCAGTAGGATAGCTGATGCTTATTTGACTCAAATTGACAAGTTGACACTTATTTGAATCAAACTTATTGAATCAAACTGATACTAAGAAAAGTATTAACTGAATGCTGTCACAGCCCAAAGTTATGAAAAAAAAATCACATTTTCTCAGACAAACATACCATTTCAGAGATGTCTTGCCCAAGAGAAAATTTTGGCCCCTATTACAATACTTGTGCAATATTACAATTGCAAAATTACAATTACTTGTGCAGTAGTCATTCCATCTAAGATCAAAAGAACATCCAACGCATGCCATAGAATGAAATCTTGTCTTGGGGTGCCAGCTATAGAGACACTTCCACGTTGGATAGACCACTGGACTTGGTGTCAGGAAGGACTTGAGTTGAAATCTGACCTCAGACACTTATGAGCTGTGTGACGTTGGACAAGTAAATTAACTTGTCTCAGTTTTCTCAACACTCTTCAAGGGTTGTTGTAAGAATCAAATGAGATCATTGTAAAGCACTTACTGTATGCCAGTGCCTGGCACATAATAAGCACTATCTAAATATTAGTTATTAATATTACCTGTGACCATGGTGAGCACAATGTCCATTCTTTGGCATGCAGTTCTGATATCTTTGACATGGACATTGGTGTTGGTGTGGTAGTACTCACCTGTGTTCTCCTGTGCTCACCATGTGTTTAAGTATTTAATGGGTTGGAGAAATAGATGGCCTGGGTGACATGTGTATGGCTAATCAAAGACGTTAGGAATATCAGACAACAAACTTAAGAGATTCTAATATTTTAGTAGTTTGTAAAAAAGAACCCACCTGTATCACTGAATTACAGATTCACTTTATCCGATTTGTTCTTAAACAGCAACTAGTCATAGAGCCTGTCCTTGAAGCCTGCCCAACTTGTGAGAACAACTCAAGTTTTCAGTCACTCTGATAACAAAGCTTGGCCACCTCCTAACAATGATGAGACAGAAGTAGGGCTTTAGTGGAGGATTACCAACCCTCTCCATTTACTCTATTCATATTCATACATTGCAAGACACCAGATTCACTCCCAGATATAGGAAGTACAGGAAGTGTGCACATAGTTCTCTGGTGATGGATGTCTTTCCCTCTAGCTGTTCTCAGTTGTGTAGTCTAGGTCACAATACAGCCCATAGCCAGGCGAGAATTGAAAGGGCATTTGAAATTCTCTCTTTGTATTCAGCTTTAGCTTCTAGGAAAAGGCCAATTATAGTTCCCACTTTATCCCAGCCCCCAATAAAAAGGCCAAGCATGTAAAGAGCAAGTTTTAAGGATAACTCTGGTTTGTCTTGATCTGCTTCAGTCAGAACATAAAATCATCCCCTACTAGCAGAACACAAAGAAATTGATTAGGGAAATGAGGGTAACTGGACAGCTTCCCAGCTTTTCCTAAATTTGGCCTTAAAAATGTGGTTTCATCCTCTTATTGGAAACATGAATAATTTAAAAATCAAACACATTTATATTCACATAAGCATAAATATGCATCATAATGAGACAAATGTGGGATTTGAATTATTTGTGGTTTTGGTTTGTCCAGACACTCCCTTAAATAATACAAAAAATGACTGGTTAATTTGTATTTTATTTAAGCCTTTTCTTTCCTTATTTGCCCTCAGCATTATATTCATGTGATTAAATAGAATTTTTATTTTTGTTCCCTTTAGGAATAAGAGGACCTTGAAGATGTGGTCAGCTTTTTAATGCCCTGGATCTAAGACAAAATAAATGGTTCCTAAAGTTTACAGTTATCTAGTTTAGATGCTAACTGCATTTCTCTCTGAAGATTAGTGTTTTCCCTATAATATGTTAAATTAAATGAGTTAAATGTGTTACATTAAATGACTTAAATTGTTACAGCAAAAAGGTCGTGGAAAGTTTTATTTCTGTATCAGTTTTCATCTTTAATCTAGACCTCAGGTAAGGGGGTAGGGAGGATGACAAGGGAATCCTCTTCTCCATCAACTAACGTAATTCTGTTGGGGAAACATTTACTTTATTGCTGTACTATTTTTGTTTCGAGGCAAATACTTGTATCTCTCTATTCCTGATTTACTGCGGGCCCTGCTACAATGTGGAAGATGAGCAAGGTCTAAGACTCTACAGATAAGCACATGCATTTACATTAAGATACAGCCAGACTGTTAAGAATCTACTCCATAATCCCTCTGTTTTCTTAACAAAGGTGAGGGATCATATTGAAGAGAACTTGCTTATTTAAACATCTGCTATATATAGGCCCAGTGCTAGATGTGCCAGGGCTAGCTACCATGATGAAATCTGAAGATTTTCCTACCAAGTTTTTACCAGACAGTCTTTATCATCACATTTACAATCTAGTAGACACGTGCACAAGTGAAATCTGGGCAAAAGCGTTATTCTCTAACCATAGCATGCCAAATGTCAGGTGACTTGAATGGAGATAATAAGCACTGATCAACTTGTACTTACTCTGACATTGGTGCTATCTTCTGGGACTTTCTGTGGGACACAATCTTCACTCTTATGAAATCTCACACTGGAAGGCTTCAACCATCAATCTCTTCAGGGTGATGACAACTCCAGTAAACAAAAGAGAGGTGATGGTGGTTGAGGCAAATGCCGGAGGAGGTAGGTGGGGATCTAGAAGCTGCATACCATCTCTATCCACTTTGAACTCAACTTCTATTTCACTTCCATGGAAAGAAAGCAATCTTTTGCCAAACTTACAAATTCATCTCAAGGCCCAAGAGTCTTCATATACTGTCTTTGAGAGACTATTGTATATTGAAGCAGGGCAGAGCAGGATTTCTTTCTACTCTTAAGCTTCTCACAGCACAAAGCTTTAGGTCTCACTTTATTCAGGGTAAAGCAAGTCTCTCTTAGGGCTCCAAAATGCCTTTAATTAGTGAGTTACCCCTCTTTTGCTCTATTGAGAGAACTGTTTGGTGATTTCTAAGATCAGCACACACAAATTACTTTAAAAAAAACCAACCCTAATTACTGAGTAGAGATGATATTTCTGGTAAGGAATGACTAGTATCACATTTTATTAAGATAATTAACAAAATCAGCTGGTCAAAGTACTGTACAGATATTTTACATTTAATTTCAGAAGAAGAAAACCAGCTAGATCAAAAAAACTTAAGTTTAAAAAAGTGTCTGGGAAGGCCAACAAGAACATGAAACAATGAGGTGTATATTCAACAAATACAGAAAGGAAACAGCTCTTTTGTAGTAACCGAGCTCACAGTATGTGAATGGTGGAATGTAGGAAAAAAAAATTACTAAATAGCATTTTACTGTAGTGCAGCCAGTGATGAAATACTGTAGACAAAACTTCATTAAACAATTCTGAATCAAGTTTGACTTGTTTATTGAACTTCTTAAAAAATCAGAATCAAAAGCCTTTTGAAAAAGGCCTTGCATCATTTTCCTGTGTTGGGCCAGTTCGTTCTTAAATTAAGTAGAATCTCAACATCTTGTGGAGCTAGTTTATAAATCCCAAGTTCATTCAATGCTGCAGTGGCGGTAGGTTCTTCTGTAGTTGACTGTAGCACATCCTTCAAAAGGAGGGCGGATCCAACATTTAAATTCAAGACAATACAGGCTTCTTTGACACTATTTTTAAGAGGAGAAGCAAACAAAACCAAACTTATTTACATTGTTACAAAGCAATTTGATTTTGAGACAGTACGCACCCCTCACTAGCAGCTTAATGATCTTTTTAAAAAATATATTATTTTCTCCCCAATTACATGTAAAAACAATTTTTAACATTTCTTTTTTAAGTTCTGAGTTCCAAATTCTATCCCTCCCTGAAAAGTAAGCAATATGACATAGGTTATACATATGCTATCATGTAAAACATTTCCATATTAGTAATTTTGTGCAAGAAGACTTAAAAAAATTAAAGTGAAAAATAATATGCTTCAGTCTGTATTTAGAAACCTTTTATATGAATTGCTATAGGTTTTAGCCCTTTTAAAACTACATAAAAATATTTCTAATCTCTCAAAATGGAATATTGTATGTTTTGTTTTTGTTTTTTGGTGAAGCAACAGGGGTTAAATGACTTGCCCAAGATTACACAGCTGGTACATGCAAAGTGTCTGAGGCTGGATTTGAACTCAGGTTCTCCAGACTCCAAGGCCACAGCTTTATCCACTGCGCCACCTACCTGCCCCGTATGTTTTTATTTTTAATAGCTCATCTATTCCTACTGTATATATTTCCCTTGCTATCAGTTAAGATCTCATGCATATATAAATGTAGATTTAGGATATGAGGAAGGAGAAAAATTAAGAAGCAGAGAGAAAAAAAAGACTGAAGTGAAAGTTGGTAGGGCAGTATTGACTAGCTGTCTTTTATTGTACTATCTAACAGAAGAAGTTCTTTAAAAAAAAAAAGCCTGCCACTCTGTATTTAGATTTAGCTTTTAAAAGGACATTCAATTTAAAAAACAATCCTGAAAGCACTTGCATCAATTCTGCTTCATATAAAAAAATGTGGCAGAATAATAAAGAACTGAGAAGGCAAGCTGAAACCAGAGGTCTGAGTCAGCTCTTAACCTTGAAGTATCCCAGGCAACTCCAAAGCCTGATTGGAAAAAAAAAAGTTGCTAAACTATGTTAGTGGGAAGGAGTTTCTCTGTACCAATGAATTCTGAAGTCTAGACCTCAGGATGCAATGATAACCAAGATTACTATCAGGTTTAAGTAGGTGATGAGTAAACTTCAGGTCTGGCCTAACCTTCAATATGAAATGTTTTACATTTTGCCATTTTAATTCTACATTTATAGGCATTTCACAGAACTGAGTTTGCTTTCCATGTTGTGGGAAGTGAACTTTGAAAATCACTGCAAATGTGTGAGCTATTATTTTTATACTTTATCATATAGCATCATGCAAAATTTAAATACTAAATAAAATGTTAGATAAAAGTCAAGTTTTATGTGTTAAGTTCCTTGAAAACAGGGACCAGTCTTGTACTTCTTTAGTGTCTCCCATAGTGCTAAACATAATACCAAACACAGTAAGTACCTAAAGAGCTGCTGTGAAGAAATCATTTTTAAAAATCTTAAAGGAATTACATTAAATGGATTACATTATTATCATCACACCTACTGAATTTAATTGATATGCCTATACCTTTTTTCACTATACATGAGAAAGTCTACCTCTATCAGCCTTAAATCTTTTTTTAAAAAAAGGAATCAACCTAATCCAAGAACTTGTTATAGAAACACTTGTTGAAAGATAACAAATCTGCAATTTGCTTACTGCTTGAAATAGTTTTCTGGTCTCTTGCAATAGTGGGAAAACAATGGGAAAAGATTCCGAGTCATGTCAAACTGAAGTTGAGCTGCTCCTCCTTCATTGAAGTAATTTGCAAGAATTATCTGTGAGAATAATGAACAATTTATCCCATGTTAAGAGATTCTTTCACAGGTATAGCCCAAGGCCAACTAGGCAATCTACTTACTTCTTGATAGATGTATACATCCAGCTTTTCTACAAGCATCTGCCAGAAAATTTTAAATAAGGAGTAACAAAGCTGCTGTTCCAGTTGAAGTAGGTGATCTCTTAAAGAAAGCAACAATGGACAAGCTGAACTTGACAGGGACATTACTGCTTGCTCTGACTGAGAGGGCAAGGACAACCACCTGAAAGAACCAAAACCGCAGTCCATTGCTGAAAAATCTATATAGCAAAAGTTATTTTACATTTTTTTTAAAAAGCTGTTAACAAATTTCAAAATTTACTCAAACTATATGAGCATTACTTTGAATTTTTTAAAAAAGCACAAGCCTTGGTTATCAGTTGAATAAAATTACAATAGCACAAATCCTAAAAAAAACACCTTAAGATTTTATGCCGCACTGATACTGGTTATTATGAATCAGCTACTTGGTTAACAGACCAATATTTAAAGTACATGTTCAGTTTCTATACTGATTTCCAAACTGAAACAACAGGAATAGTGACATTTTCATATCTGAAAGAATATTTTAAAGGTTCAAACTGTTTAATAATTGATTTTAAATACAGTAAAAATCTCAGTTTGAGGTTAGCCTCCTGGCACCCTCAAGCATTCTTAGCGGTGAATTAAAAACCCAGAAAAGGATGGGAGAAAAGAGCTTTTACAGCAGACAAGAAAATTTTTCAGCAGCAACAAAAACAGCTTTAAGGGGTCCAGAGATATAAAAAAGGCTGTGACTGATCGGGTCACTGAAAAGAATTAAAGAAACCGTTGGCTTGACTGGTGATTATGTCTATAAATGATCATGCTTTTCAGCCAAAAATCAAGAAGTCCGAAAGAAGCAACAAAACACAGAAAAGACGAGAAGCAAAAGCTTCTGATTGAGGGAAGACAGTAGAAGGGGCAGCAGTCAGGGAGGCAGGACCTGAAAGAAGGCAAAGGCAACCGATGTTGTGACAAGAGAGAACAGAGAAAGAAGCCTAAGAGAGGCTGAAAGTTCTGACTGACTGCTGCTACAAGCTCCTCGGGGCAGACACATAGCAGTTTAGTTCATTCAGCCCTATCAGCCCACTGATATGGTTCAATAATTGATCATTACTGAATCATTAAGAAAGTAACTTATATTGTATGAAGAGGTTAAAATGGTAAGAAATATAAACTATATTTTAGAAAGATTTAATTGGAAAATTTCAAATAAATGGGATTAGAATATAAATAAAAAGCTATTAAGCCTCTGCTATCCAGGACAGCTCATTCTCTAATAATTCTGGATACTGATTATAAACAGACTTTATTACAAAAAACTTAATTCTGATTTAGACTAAAAGGATACCTACAAATGAGGATACAGAAAACTCACCTTTCTTTTGTGTACAATTTTGCTGCATCTTTGATATCTCTGAAG